TGTCTCTAAAAAAAAAAAAAAAAAAAAACTAAATTGAAAGAAGTAGCACAGAGTACTATTTTTGTTAAAAGTTGATAAAATATATGGTTGAAAATTCGTGAGTTCTATAAAATATGTGATTAAAATTAATTGTTGATCATCAAAGATTTGACCGTTTTAAACTTTTTCTGTAACTAACTAGAGGCCTGAGAAAAAAGATGTGTACGAACGAGATATCCAGCTTTGACTAAAAATTATAATCAAATTTTAATTTGTACCAAACAAGACGTCATTACTACTTCTTTGATTTTAGATTGAGGAAAAGTGTTCTAATAATTAATTAAGGGTTTGATTTGCTCTAAATTGTAAGGTCCATTCTTTTAAATAAATGAATTCTTCATTCTTGGATATAGTGGTAAAAAAGGCATGACCGATGATGTTGTGGAATATCATAATTACTTTTGAATATCACATTTTTAAGTAGAGTAACGCTATCTATTATTAGCCGAGATCGATGTCAATTTAGGCAGTAGTGAGTCCATTCATTGTCCAATGCATCACAATTACATGGAACAATAAATTCAAGATTATGTTACCTCCTAAATTGGTTAGGATCTCTATTAATGATGAATAACATTACTCTTGGAAATATAAACATAAGATAAACATAGAAAAAAAAATAACTAATGCATTGTATCAAAATAAAAGGTGAATAGAGTATGTGCATGATTGGTAATTAACCTTTCGTGAATGAGTCATTTAAGTCAACGAGAACCATACCCTTCCTCATTTCACATGCTAGGCAGGCTTCTAAATCTTTTACTCATTACTAGTGAATGCACGTGTTGTGGGTGATGTAGTGTAAGTGATAATATTGGATTTTGGTTTTGTGGGATTTTATCTTCAAACATCTTCTCTAACCAAACATGCGGTGGAGCACGTCTATAATGTGGGCCTCTTCATAGACAAAACGAATTCTTTGAACTCTAAAGACAACATGGAAAGAGTAGAAATATATTTCCAATAATAATGGATGAGAAGGACCTTTTGTTTTATTTGAATATGAGAGTAAAATCGTCATTTTATTGAAAAAATGGATGAGAATGACCATTTTCGCAATGAAAGGTGAAAGGTATGGGTGAAAATGCTAAAAAATGAAAGGTATGGACATTTAGCAGAATAACATTGAAAGGTAGAGACCTTTTGTGCTAATTATGTCAAAAAATAAAAGATATGGACGTTTTCCACAATAATTTTAAAAGATAGGGACATTTTGTGCTAATTACCTATTGATTTAACGGAGCATTTTAACGTAGAGTTGACAGAAGGACGTTTTGCGCAAAAAAAAAAGGTAGTAGGGGTGTAATCCGTCAAAAAATGAAAGGTATGGATGTTTTCCACCAAAATATCGAAAGATATGGATGTTTTGTGCTAATTACCCAATAAAAAATAAACCAACCATTCTCTCTGTGCACCTGGACATTGATTTTGATCTCAAAGTGTTTATGTTAACCATTATTCACGATGGAAATGTTCGATATTATGCCTCCAATTTCTGATTCCTTTTCTTGCCATTTTTATATTTAGTCTACTGGTTTTGATATTGTTTTCTTATATGATAAATGAACTACCTCATGTTGATAGATTTAGATGGAAGACATACTACTGTTAGTCATTTGTGTAAATTTCAGAGGACCATTCATCTCTCTCGAAAATCTATGCTGAGCAAGATCAATAAACAGCTTGCATATTTCAAATGACCCATCATCTCTCTCCCCATATGCACCCACGCGGCCACGTGCATGTGCGAGAACTAATTAATTCTTTCCTGTACAATATTTTTTGCCAGTGCTCTTTAGTATTTTATTATGTGTGGCAGGTGACTACTCCGTTGCTTTTCAAGTTAATTCCTGCAGTTGTGCACCTTGGTTATCTATTACGGTGGTT